AACCGCTGCAAACCTCGGAGAGAAAGCTGCCCTCGTTCTTCCAACTGATGCCAGACAATCCCGCTTCTCCCGTTTCAGTCTGAGTCCCTAGAGACTCGCCCGGATCTGGAGCTCAGAGGAGACTCCCTCCCCAGGAAACGCTGCAAACCTCGGAGAGAAAGCTGCCCTCACTGTTCCAACTGATGCCAGACAATCCCGCTTCTCCCGTTTCAGTCTGAGTCCCTAGAGACTCGCCCGGATCTGGAGCTCAGAGTCTGAGACTCCCTCCTGATTGAAAACGACAACCGCGCCCTCAGCCACCAGCCCGCTTTGCGCGCGCACCTCCGCACCTTTATATTTTCCACACTGCGCCTCCTCTGAGCCTCGGTATGCTGTTGTCTTTCCTTCTAGTTGAAGAGTCTCTCCTCAGCCAGCCTTCCTGTGGTTCTGGGTGATGTCCGTTCCGTCTTTTAGTTGTATTTTTGAAGTGGTTGTTTGCGGCAGCAGTCTCCGGTGTTTACCTATGCCGCCATCTTGCTCGGACCTCCATAAAATTCCATAATAGACTTTTTTGATGCAACATTTTGCAAGTATTAAAGTTGGGGTTGTGGCACACATGGGTGCTGTCATCTGGCCACTCAGCACTTATTGAGCTCCTTCTGTATACCAAACATGGTGCTAAACTCTGGTGATATAAAAATGATGATGCACTATAACAGTTTTCTTGAGTAGTGTGATTATAGAGCTAGTAATTAGACTCCTTACTAAATGAATAGCGTTGTTAGATTACATTTAGACAAGTACCACATACCCCATTCCATTTTAATCACCCCTTAAATGCAATCCTGTTTGTTTGCATGAAAGAGCTTTTAAAATGGTAGATAAATAAATAAATAAATAAAATAAAAATGATGAATAGATACTATGTTTTACTTCAAGGACTTTTCAGTCAAATAGAGAAACTGATATAAATTACAATGCAACGGGGTGAGGGTAGTGACTGAGGAATACCTAATGAGCTGTGGCAATACATGATGAGACAGACACTTGGTCTTCAATGTGCTATTCATCAGTCAGTTTCATGCAATTAATAACTATGAGGGCCTTGGCCAGATTGGCTCAGTTGGTTGGGTATCATCCCATGCACCAAAATGTCCCTGGTTCGATTCCCAGTCAGGGCACATGTCCAGGTTGTGGCCTCCATCCCTACTAGGGGGCATGCAAGAGGCAGCCTATCGATGTTACACTCCCACATCAATGTTCCTCTCTCTCTCCTTCTCCCTTACTTTCTCTCTAAAAATCAATTAAAATATATAGAGTTAGAAACATTGATGAGAGAGATACATCGATCAGCTGCCTCCTGCACACTCCCCACCAGGGTTGTGCCTGCAACCAAGGTACATGCCCTTGACTGGAATCGAACCTGGGACCCTTTAGTCTGCAGGCCGATGCTCTATCCACTGAGCCAAACTGGTTAGGGCAATATATATATATTTTTAAAAAGAATAACTCTGAGGGACTTTTCTGACTTGCCTAGAGCCGTTTCCAGGATGAAGAATTTTCTGGATCATCCTTCTGTGGCTATATTGACTTTTGCCTCAGAGAGACGTAGGCATTTTGGTATTTTCCGAAGTACCACTCCTGGGTTTTATAACCCGAATGGAAATGAAAAGTGCATAGCCTGTGGCACAGCAGAAAGGCAGATAATTATTTGGGATGACCAGATGAGATTCTCCTGCCATTCTGCGCAGATGTTCACATTCAATTCAGTCTAATTATCTTCCTAAATGTCCTCTCCTCCTTAGTGTTTTTCACTGACCCTTTTCTTGACAAAATGCTATGCACAGCTTTTCCAAACTGTTCTCAACTGGGTCAGCAGCTCTAAACCCCTACTGGCTCTGTGCTATTGCCAATAGGCCTTTGTTAATCTGAGACTCCCAAACCAGGGCATTATGGAGGCAGAGAAGCAATGGAAGAACAAGTGCCAGCCTCTGCTACTTGGCATTTTCAAAGGCTACCGAATCCGCATCTGCTTACCAGACTCTCTGTAGTAAGTTCTGGCAAATCCTGGATGGTACAGCAAGGGTAATCCAGGACCGAGATGCTGCAAGATGCAGAGATAAGGACAGGCTTTAGGTAAATGGCAACGGCAGGAAACAGCTGTATGTTAAAGGGCAGGGGTTAGTTCTCTCCAGCAGGCCCTATCTATTTCCCAAATTGCTTAGAGACCTTGGCTGAAACCGAGGGCTTTGGTGCCAGGCAACTCCAGCTCTAGAGGAACTAACAGAGTTCTTTCAGGCTGGCCCCCATCTGGCAAAGGCAAAAGAGAGCAGAAAGAGAGCCCTGTACAGCCACCTTTCTCCTTCCTTCTTTAAAGGAATATGTAAACTTGTCTGCAGTTGAGTTTCTGTATTTAAGTATATGCTTGTGTATATGTGTGAATATAACTGTGCTCCCAGAGATGCTGCTAAAACTTATTGCACTTAACAAACTGTGGATGTGAGGACGCAATGCAGACTTCTGTGTCTTTCTGAAAGCCAGGAGCTCTCGGGAATGATCACCTGAGCTACCCCTACAGGAAGCTTGAGACAGAGGCAGCAACCTACAGCAGGGCCAGTCTAGTAGCTCAAGAATGGTAATAGCATCTGCCTCCAAGGGAGCTGGAGGCTCTGTGGGTAGCCCAGGGAAGCAGGAAAAATAAGGCACCACATGATGACAGGAATACAGTCACTTAAAATGACCTTTCTTTCCTCTTTTCCCTTCTTCATGGGTACAATGCAGAATTGAGATTAGTTAATCTCTAATGCTTCTCCTGGTTGGGACAGTCCATGAGGTTTTAAACACCAATCTTGCCCTGGCCTGTGTTGCTCAGTGGTTGCTCAAGAGTGTTGCCCTGGGGACCAAAGGGTCACGGTCAAGGGCACGTACCTGGGTTGCAGGTTCGATCCCCAGCCCCAGTTAGGGCGCATGAGGGATGGAAACCAATTGATGTGTCTCTCTCACATCAATGTCTCTTTCTCTGCCTCCCTCCTTTTCTCTCTTCCACTCTCTCTAAAAATCAATAGAAAAAATATCTTCAGGTAAGGATTAACAAAAACAAAACAAAACAAAATTTAAAAACCACCAATCTATCTGAACTAATGCAGTTGGAAATAAGAAGACTATGGGGTTCCTTGGACCTGTCTCTCTATTTCGAAAGTCAAACTCTATCCAAACAAAAGGCAACAATTTATTCCACTAGAAATGTTTACCTTTGTCCAAGAAACACACAAAGATAACCAAGGGAACAAAGGGAGGAGAGGAGAGGCCAATGGCTCTCTCTACTATGTTGCTCATCATCTTAATTCACTCTACTAGATCCTCCCAGGGTTGCCAGTTCTCTGCTGCTCCTTTAGGAAAAACTCAGCTACCCACCTCCCACTGACAAAGCCCCATGGCAAAGTAGGTGCTGGGGACCAGGAAATGGGGGCGGGAAATCAAAAATGGATTTATTCTCATCTCAGTGAACTGAATTCTAGCCTAAGGGGGAATAAAAGACAGTTACAAGTTTCTACATTATCTAGGTTGTAAGAGCCATAAGGAAACTGTGCAATAATGAGCTGTGGGTGCTCCAAGTTTCTCAGGGATTATGCACCAGTGAAATATACTGTGGGTGGTAAACAGGAGGACCATCTTATCCAGGCCAACCTTAGCAAATGGCATAGTCTGGCTCTTTCAACTCCAAATGATCTCGATGGACACATATTGGTTTGTTTGCCCCTCCTCTTCTAGGCCCAGGAGTGCATTTAGCTCCTGAACCCAACTTCCCAGCCATAATTGATTGAGCCAGGGACAGACCTCTAACCCTGGGAATGTGGAACAAGGATTGAGAGCCAATTCAGTCTGAGTGGCATGGGGCAGGACATGTTGAGCTCATGCAGGCATATTTCACAGAGTGGCCTGGGAAACAGACACTACTATTTGCAAGTGAGAGAAGACACTGGAGTGGAGTACAGAGGCTTGGTGTCCATAGACAGAGGTGGAGGACTGCCTGGGCTCCCTACAGACCAACCCTGAGGCTCAGAGCTGCATCCCTGTCCTAGGAGCCTCAAGATGATATACCTCACATTTCCTCCTAACAAATTACTACTATGCATGAACCAGGTCTAGCTGGTTTTAGTTACTTAGAACTAAAAAGGTTGACTGATACACAGAGGTGCCTTCATGAAGCTGTGGCCCTTACCTCGCCCAACCTACACTTCCATTTTCCCTGGTAATTCAACTAGCAAGTCTTAGTGTTAGTTTTATTTTTTGTTAATCCTCATCAAAGAAAATTTTTCCATTGACTTTTATAGAGAGTGGAAGGGAGGGGGAGAGACAGAGAGAAACATCGATGTGAGAGAGACACATTGATTAGTTGCCTCCTGCACACGCCCCAACCAGGGCTGAGGACTGAGCCTGCAACTGAGGTACATGCCCTTGACTGGAATCGAACCTGGGACCTTTCAGTCTGCAGGCCAATGCTCTATCCACTGAGCCAAATCAGCTAGGGCTTAGTGTTATTTTTAAGGTGGCCAGTGCATAAATCTCCTGTAGTTAGAAAAAAAACAAAACCAAAAAACCCATGAATTCTCAAATGCTTCCTTCAAACAGGAAAAGTATTTAAATCACTCTCATATATATTTATCTTAACTAATGCTTATAAAAGCTCTATGATTCAGTCAGAAGAGGTTTTGTTTTCATTTTAAAGATGGAAATACTGTGGCTCAGAGAAACAAAGTGTCTTACTTGAGATTACATAGCTAGCAAATGGCAGATCCAGGCCAGGAATCGAGGTCTCATGACTTCAGGTTCCGTGTGTGTGTGTGTGTGTGTGTGTGTGTGTGTGTGTGAGAAACTACATATAAGTAAGCTGCCTCTCCCTGGAGGAATCTCAGGCAGTGCTGACATACTGGTGAGGCAACATCTCCTAGCCCCTCTCCACTCACTCCGAGTAATCCGCTTCTACTTTAGAAACTTTGCCTCTATTAAAGCACTTCTGGTAGACTCCTGATTCATAGGCTTCCAGTTCTCATGGAAACAGCCAAGTAAGGAACAAGGATCTGTTCTGTGACCTTCCCTTTCTGCCATGTCCCCACTTGGCTGGAGGAGTGGAAAGCAATTTGTATTCACAATTGTGATCAGAAAGCAATTTGTGTTTTGATCCTATCTTTGCTGCTTACTTAACAAGTCTCACTAGCATGTTAATCTTGAGCAAGTCAATTAACCTAAGTTGTTTCCTAATTGGTAAAATGAGAAATAAAACTTGTTGTAATATCACTTAGGACTGCTTTGGAGATTAAATAAAATAATGGATAGAGAAATAGTGTAATTTTGAAAACTACAAATTGATCTATCTATTATTTTTCAGTTATAAATTCTCTATAACACTTTACAGTTTACAAAGTAGTGTAACTAACCCAACTTATGATTTATACTAAGATCGGGGCTGGCCAGACAAGCCATAAAGCTGAAATTTTATCGTTGTAATTTTATTACTTTGAGTCATGACATTTTTCAGTTTTTAAAATTTTAAAAATATAAATATCTTTGTGACGAGGCCAAATCATATACCCAGCAGCTAACACTTCAAGGAAATTAAATAGTAATCGCTCTAAAATAGAACTTGGGACAGCAAAACTGACAGGCTCAGAAATAATGTAATTTTTCTCAATCATCCCAAACTAGCCCTTTTGAAATAAAAGTGTCCAGAGTCCATACCTGTTTTTAGCAGTGATGTAGGACAAAATATTTTGATTGAAGAATTTCAGGATCAATGGAATGCAGTTGGCAAATACCAAATGTTGTGATACATATTCAAACTGAATTAAAAGATCAAAGTGGAAAGGGCTGCTTATTTGGGGGAGAATAGAAGATCTGTATGAAAAACAGGCAAATCTAAATCTAACATCCATCCCTAAAGATATCCACTGGCCGCTTGTGTTATCAGTCTTTCTGCCTGGGAAGGGGAAGAATCGTCTCCAGCTCGCCCATCCTACCTGGAGGGGGACAATCGGTAGTGTTATATAGGTTGCAAACTCCTGACCAAAAGCACAAAACATAAACCGGAGAGAAAGCCCTATTACAGATCAACAGAACTGCTGTGAGATTTTCTCTTAAGCTCAACAGGAAAGGAAGGCAACCCCGAGGGAGTTGTCTTCCACACCAAAGCTCTGGCTCATAGTGTTTCAACTGTGATTGATACAGCAAGGACAGGTGCAACTCACCCCCAGCAGCTGCTGGCATCACTCAGCCAGCATGGAGACAACACATAACCAAATGGGCCACTGGAATGTGGGCTCCATGCCAGTCTGTATGGTTCCCTGTACTTAGAATATCATATTTTAATGAAGGAATCAAGAGCCCTCCAGTCAACAGGTACTGCACTGAGAATAAGTCGAGGATCTCTTTGATGAGCGTAACACCACAGCACAGGGGCTCCACTTGGCTCTCCTGAATCTGGATGGGGTTTGTGTCCAGGAAGACTTAGTGGAGGCAGTGTCGTGAAGTTATGCCATCTGGATTTTGCCCAAGATACACTGAGGAGCACCAGGCACAATTTTCTCCAGATCCAGAACCTAGACTGCTAGGACAGTGCAGAAACTGGGTTGAAAAGGCAGAAAATTGTGCTGTTTTAAATCCTCTACTTCTTCCTGATTACCAAAAAGTAGCCTTGGTAGCAAGCTAAGCTGCCCTCTGCCCCTAAATGTGTGGTTACAGGGGAGGCGTCAGCTGGTGCTGCCCATTTCTCTCTTTTGCTCAAATCTTTCCCCCCTGGCAGCTGACCCAGGGTTTTTTCCCCAAAGCCCCAGATGGAGGAGACGATACATACTCTCTATCAAGTGATGGAAAACTTTTTTCAGTTTTAGATATGTCTGTAGCCTTGTCAGGATTCATTGCCACTGACACACACTGGCAAGACCCATCAAGCCACCCACCTGTCTGGCTGTTGATCCACCTACTGCCACCAAGAGAAGCAAACAGAAACAGACATCCTCAGTTCTCTGTCCTTTCTACTAGGACCACTATCTCCCACCAGGCCCAACTCCTCCCAGCCCTGCTGCTGCTCAGCAAACATGAGCAGACGTGTGAGCACCCAGGACACGCTAACAAACCTACAGATGTCCCAGAATGTACTAAAATAGTCAAACCTGCCATGGACACAGACCCTGCAGGGCCTCCCCTGCACTTTAAGGACCTGCTCTTCCACCAGCAAGCTTGGTTTTGACTTCACAGGAGGAAAACAGAGCAGAGCCTCTGTGCAGGAATGAGATGCCTCCTCTCCCCCATGGTCTCACCACAGCGAGCATCCATTACTGCTTCCATCTTCCCCTATACCTTGCTTATGGCAATGTATGCTTACAGAAGAATCAAGTCTAAACTCCTCAGCACGGCAAACAATGCGTTTATGAGGAAACAGGTTAACCTTTCCTAGCTTTGGTTTCCTCCTCTATAAAATGGCATAAAGTAAGACCTACCGCATAGGGCTGAGAAAATTAAATGAGATCCCACACAAGCTTAACAGAGTGCCCGGCCCATTATAGGTACTTAATAATTGTGCGCTATCACATGTGTTATGTCCTCCCTGTTGTCCTCTCCAGCCTTACGGACTTTCACAAATTAGCTTTTCTGCTTGAAGTGCTTCCTGTCCTCTTTCCCTGACAACTCCCACATTGCAGCTAATCTCTCTTTAGGACTCGGGTTGAAGTCACTTCACCTCAGGCTGGATTAGGTATTTCCCTATCAGCCAATGCTTAACTGTACTTATCACTCTACGATTGGATCTTTATGTATCTGTATCCTTTACAAGACCTCTACGCCCTTAAGAGCCAGAAACATGCCTTATTCAGAATTAGATCTCAAATGTTAGAAAGGTGCTTCGCATATAGAAAACCATTCTCAACATGCTCCCTCCCCCCCCATTTTTGTAGAATGCTTGAATCCTATCACCCATTGTTTTAAAGCTGGCTGGGCAGAGATTCCTACCCACAACCCTCAGATCATGTTCAAAGGACATAGACATCAGCACCTTTCTAGAACAGTTCCCCACATCCCACACCATATCTCCACCCCAAGCTTGTACAACAGGCATTTTGATTCCCTGAGTGAGACAAAGAAAAGGCTGAAAGATACTCAGCTGGATTGCAAGGGCCCTAGTGTCCCTTCTTTAGGAGACAGGGCCTAGTGAACACGAAGACCCGTGGAGAAGCGCTCCTAGCTGCTCACCTGGTAGATGTGGTTCAGTTTGAAGTGCTTGAGGAGCAGCAGGAGCAGGGCAGAAATACTCTTTACAATGATCTCCTTGTGCCTGTTCACATCAATGCCCAGCTTCATGCTCTGGAGAACAGTGACACTACAATAGGGACAGGAGGGGTCAATCTCGAGGGTGGCTGGAGAGAGCTTCTACACAGTACATATTTGGATCGGATACAATGTACACAGGAGAGCCAGAGCTTAGGAAACCTGAGTTTCTGTGCTAGGGAAACCTCCCGAGTTCCTGCTGATAAGCCTGTCTGGAGAAAAGCTCCTCTGGACTCTGTTTCTCTCTCTCCTTTGTCAAGCTCATCCCTTGGCAATGTCCACCCACATACCTGTGCAGCCAGTCGCTGGCACGCATACTGCCCTCCAGCCCCTCAATTCTGAGCTAAAAGGAGCACAGCAGAGAGCACTGCGGTGGAAAGGGGCTACTGCTGGGGGAAGGGAGATCTCTTTGGAGATAATCCCTGTTAACCAGGTGGGGTGGGGACTAGAGAGACCTCGCGGACAAGACAGCTAGTATTCAGCCGCCGCCACAGTTGAAGCACTCACGGCATCTCCTCAGGCAGGACATCTGCCAGAATATTGATAGAGTCTGTCTTAGCCTTGGAGGTGGGAGCTGCAGCCAGCAGAATCTTAAGCAGAGCAATCTGGAAAGTAGAAAATGAGGAATCCATCCCATGCAACAAGGCTATTTCTCAATGCCTCAACAGTCCTATTGGAAGTGTTTTAAAGTCTTCCTCTAAGTCCTTCCCTCAATGACCAGATCGCCCCAGCCTCCAGAGGGGCAATCAGGTGTCCAGTCCTGAGAGGCCTGCCTGTGAGAGTCAGGAGCCAGAAGGGAGCTGACAGGCTGCTGTGCTTCAAGACTGCTCTTTCCAGAGAGGAAGATGGGAAAGGCAAAGTGAGAGGGACAAAGCCTAGAAATAAAGTGGGAGGCATAAGCAAGATTTCACGTCCTCTACCCTTTCCTTCCTCTAACCCTGACCATCAGCATCCTCACCATTCTTAGCCTGAGGCTATCTAGAACATGACAGACCATAGCAGACCTCAGAGGGACGAGGGCCCCCAATACACCCTGCACAGATCCCATCTTGATCTCCATCCCTCCAAAAGGACTAGGGAGTACCGCCAAGTCCTCCTTCCTCTTGCAGGAGCCCCGAGGAAAGCTCAGAATTCTAATGTGTTAGAGAAAGCCTCGACTGAGGAGTGAAAGCTCAGGAAACAAGCTGAAATGATGGACATCTCAGCTTGAAATGACTCTCAGCTGTCTGTTCCTTGAAGCAACGAAGGGCAACTTCTTACTATGTCCTTACCCCACCACCTCTTACCATGTACTGGGGGAGGCTATACAGCATGCCCTGGTAGAGGATTTCACATGGCGTCTCTGGCACTACCTCTTCCCCCTACGGCAGGAAACACACAGTTACCCAGGCCATTTTCCAGTTGACCAAAGGCTATGTGAAGTGTGGCATGCAAAGAGCACTGAGCTGGGAGTCCTAGGTTCTACCCTCGCTGTGTTAATGTTTCCTTATATGACCTTGGGTAAGTTACTTTCCCTATCTGGGTCCTAATTTCCTCTTCTATAGATCAGTGGGCTGGTCTGGATGACCGCTGAGGTCTCTTCCAGCCCTAACAAGCGATGATTCTGGTTTTCACATTATCTGGAGTCGATCCAAATTCTTTTTTCCATGTCCCAGCTGGATCAGGAGTCAAAACTCCCAACTAGGAGACGGCTCAGACCACTGCTTTGCTGAACACATGGGGACTTAATTCAGGCTGCAGGTATGCCCGGGACACTGGGAACAGACAGCCTACACAGAGCCACTTCCCAGGGTGTCAATGAGGCCACCTGAGAGCACTAAAATGCTCTGAAGCCAGAAAGGAAAGGCAGGTGACTCAATAGAGAGGGTTAATAAGACAGATGGGTAACCTATGGCCTGGAGAAGCAGGAAGGACTATTGGCTGATAAGCTTTTAGGTGTAAACTATTTTTACTTCTCTATTAGCCCCTACAACATCCCTTTCTCCTTTCTGACCAGCCCCCTCATGCACAACTCTTTGTCCTTTTGATGACCCCACCTAAGCCCTTTGTCGGAGTATGGAGACAGACCTCCAGTGCTCGAGAGGGTACTCAAGGCCACTGTCATCTTTGGGCAATGCAGTCCTTCCTCACCCAAGGTCTGTCTATTACAGGGCAAGGGTCAGTGCCATGAGAACCTAAGGTAGGTAACTTAGCCCCTTTCATCCCACACAACTCAGCTATGCTTAAATAAGCAAAAGTCTTAAATGGACGTTCAGTAAAGCCTGCAATCCTGTGTGCTTGCCTTCTGCTATCCAAAATGCCCATTTCACATCTTACCCCCTTTCTCAAATCAACCCCCTTGTCCCACAGCCCCTCAATAGTTGCTAACCCTGCCTCATACTTCATGGAGAAAACAAGCAACCGGACAGGCACACCCTCATCTTCTCTTTGCCAAATCTGCCAGAGTCTCCACCTTCCTTCTTGACATTGAGGTCGAACCACCTGTGCTCCTATGAAAGGCCAGCCCTCCTTTTGTGCTTAGAATCTCACTCTTTTCCTTTGTCGAATGTAGTAGTTCTGTATGTATCCCCTCCCCGCTGGATCATCTCTTTAGGATGTAAACATGCTCTAGTGTCACCTAGCTATAAGACATTTTCCCTCGACTCCACATCCTCCTTCAGCTCCCATACTTGTTCTATTATCCTTCTCACAATAAAACTTCTGTGCTGTATATGTCAACTGTCTACTTCCTTTTGTTACATTCCTTTTTCAACACACCAACTAGGCTTCTAGCCCCACCACTTCACTGGAGGTTGCTCTTTTCAAGGTCATCAGTTTTATTCATGTTGCCAAATTCAATGGACACCTTGTTCTTACTGTGCTCCATTTATCAGCAACATTTGACATAGAAGATCACTCCCTTCTTTTTTTAAAAAAAATACTTTTACTGATTTCAGAAAGGAAGGGAGGAGAGAGAGACAGAAACATCAATGATGAGAGAGAATCATTTATCGGCTGCCTCCTGCATGCCCCACACTGGGGATCGAGCCCACAACCTGGGAATGTGCCCTGACTGGGAATCAAACCATGACCTCCTGGTTCATAGATCGATGCTCAACCACTGAACCATGCTGGCCAGGCCACTCCCTTTTTTGAAAGATTTTTTTTCTTAGCTTTTATAGTATCACAATATCCTGGATTTCCTCCCACCCCCCTGAATGTTTTTCTTACTCTTTTTTTTCTTTATTGATTAAGGTATTACATATGCGTCCTTATCTCCCTATTGCCCCCCCCCCCCCATGCCCTCACCCCCAGGTATCTGTGTCCATTGGTTAGTCTTATATGCATGCATATAAATCCTTTGGTTATCTCTCCCCCTTATCCCCACCCTCCCTTACCTTCCCTCTGAGGTTTGACAGTCTGATCAATGCTTCTCTATCTCTGGATCTGTTTTTATTCATCAGTTTATGTTGTTCATTATATCCCACAAATGAATGAGATTATGTGATATTTATCTTTCTCTGACTGGCTTATTGTGCTTAGCATAATGCTCTCCAGTTCCATCCATGCTGTTGCAAATGGTAAGAATTCCTTCTTTTTTACTGCAGCTTAGTATTCCATTGTGTAGATGTACCATCCTGCAGTTTTCCGAATACAGGTCAATTACCTCCTTGGTTAAGTTTATTCTTAAGTATTTTAATTTTTTATTGCAATGGTAAATGAATTGCTTGTTTAGTTTCTCTTTCTGAGAATTCATTATTGGTGTATAAAAAAGCCATTGACTTTTGGGTGTTCATTTTGTATTCTGCTACATTGCCAAATTCATTTATTAAATCTAGTAGTTTTTTGGTGGAGTTTTTGGGGTTTTCTGTGTACAATATCATGTTATCTGCAAATAATAAGAGTTTTACTTTCTCCTTTCCAATTTGGGTGCCTTTTATGTTTTCTTCTTACCTGATCACTGTAGCTACAACTTCCAGTACTATGTTGAATAAAAGTGGTGAAAGCGGACATCCTTGTCTTGTTCCTGTTCTTAAGGGAAATTGTTTTAGTTTTGCCCATTGAGTGTGATGTTGGCTGTAGGTTTGTCATATATGGCCTTTATCATGTTGAGATATGCCACATCTATTCCCACTTTGCTGAGAGTTTTTATCAAAAATGGGTGTGGGGTTTTGTCAAATGCTTTTTCTGCTTCTATTGATATGATCACATGCTTTTTGTCTTTCAATTTATTTATGTGATGTATCATGTTTATTGATTTTCAAATATTGTACCAGCCCTGCATCCCTGGAATAAATCCCACTTGGTCATGGTGGATGATCTTTTTAATATATTGCTGGATCATATTTGCTAATATTTTGTTGATGATTTTAGCATCTATGTTCATCAGGGATATTGGCCTGTAATTCTCTTTCTTTGTAGTTTCTTTATCTGGTTTGGAATTAGCATAATGCTGGCCTCATAAGAAGAGCTTGGAAGTGTTCCTTCCTCTTGGATTTTTTGGAATAGTTTGAGGAGTATAGGTGTTAGTTCTTTTTTGAATGTTTTGTAAAACTCCCCTGTGAAGCTGTCTGGACCCAGGCTTTTGTTTGCTGGGAGTTTTTTTGATTACTGCTTCTATTTTATCAGTTGTTATTGGCCTATTCAGGTTTTCTGCTTCTTCCTGATTCACTTTTGGGAGATGGTATTTTTGTTGGAATATGTCCATTTCCTCCACATTGTCCAGCTTTTTGGCATATTTTGTGGAAGAGCCACACTCAAGGGACCAAAGAGCTGCAAGTGGCTCACAAGCCGCGGTTTGCCGACCATGGTCTTAGCTTAACTGTCACCTTCTGAGAGTTCTACCTACCTTGACTATCCAATCTAAAGTAGTCTGTCATATAATTCTATTTAAAATTTCTTCATTATGTCACCACTCTCTGATAGCCTTGTTTCCTTATTTGTTTAGCTTTTTTCTCTAACTTTGACATGTTGTGAAATTAGGGACCTTGTCTTGCCTGGCACATAGTAAGATCCCCGAAGCATGCACACATGCTCTGTGACAACACTGCAAACATATTCCCCTGCCCCCTTCCTGTGCAGGGCCCTTTTAACTCACCAAAGACATGGGGCACTTCTCCAGCTCCTCCTCATTCTTGATCTGAACATCTGCGATGGAGACGTATTTGTGCTGGGGAAGAGAAGACATCAACAAAGGGCTGAGGGCCTCAATCTCATGTGTACCAGCCTCTTGTTTAACTTCCCCAATGACAAGGAAAATGTCCTATTTATGGATCTGTCATCCCAAATAGACCATGAACTACTTGAAGGCGGGCGTCTTATTCACCTTTGCACCATTAACACTGAGCGAAGTGCTTCATATACAGTGTTTGTTTGTTCCATGTTTCCAATTTGTTGAAGAGCAGCAAATACCTAAGCATTTACCTTCAGCCAGCCAGGAACAGGCCCTTGCCCCTGGACCACTGCCCGGAGGTTTCTGCTGCATGTGTACGTGTACATGGAGTGATGATGATGGGGTAGGGGAGGATTCAAGGTCTGTGTATCTTAGTCTTTGTGCTCACACACTGTAGATGTAGAGTAGTAGCCTGCTACTCAATCCTGAACCTTTGGAAGTTAGTCGTCTTATAGGGAGAGAGAAGTGAGAGGAAAGGAAGGGAAGAATGAGAAGAGAGAGAGAAAGGTAGAAGGAGGGAAAAGGAATGAGAGGAAGAATGAATAACCTTCTCATCTATCTGAATGTAGAAAACTGGTAAGTAGGGAGAGACCTGATTTCTTCCTCTTTGGCCAAAGGCCTTCAGGGAAATGTAGAATAGATTCAGAATGTGTCTGGTAGAAGAATCCTGCCCAGTACGAGGACCCCACTAATCCAACTTGCCTTGATGGCTCACTATCCCTGAAGACTGAGTGCCCACCCTGGTCACCTGCTTTAGGGTCTTCACACTCTCATGGATGGGCCTGGGTAATCCAACCAAGGTATCTGTGTCCCTGTGAAATGCAAGGCAACTAGATAAGCTTCAAAAGTATAAAGAATGACTCATTCCCCCTGGAGTCACTAGACCATGCCACTTTCAGCTTCCAGATCCCCTGTGATTGCTTTAGGACACAGAAAATTACAGAAATGTTTGGAAATTAGGGTTTCTGTATAGTCTTTTGAGGACTCACTTTGTCTGGGAGTGGCAGGTAGCCCAATGCCACTTTTGACTGTGAAATACCAATAACAATGCCTTCTCAGGTTTTGTAGAGGCCAGTGGGAAGGATTCATGAGGGTGGGGAGATGGGGGGAAAGACTAAATCTGTTCTGACCATGTCTCTTCTTCACAGAATCCTGGCCCATTAGAGCGGGTAGGGCCCCTAGAGACCTTGTAATCCAACACTCTTATGAGGAAATTGAAGCCCAAGAGGGAAATGACTTGTTGCTCAAGGCCCTCCACTGGCCAGGAGCATAAAAGTTCTTTTAAGAAACTGGAAGGAAAAAATTCCATGGAAAGAACCCAAAGTAGTTACTGGGAGTTGCCCATGGCCTAATAGTTCTAGGTTGCATTGTGACTACCCAGCAAAATTTCTCATTCCAAGCCACCCACTCTGGCCCCATAAGAACCACTCTATAGCCATTCTGATGATTCGGTCACTTACTGCCCCAGAGTGAATCCGATGAACTTGTTCCTGCTTAGCTCCAAGAAGTGCTCAATGTCCTTCTGCCTGAGGGGACGGTGATGAACCCCAAAGAAAGGAAGAAAAGCAAACCTTGAGAGAGAGAATCTTTCTGGGCTCCTGCCCCTCCAATTGGAGGATCGGAGCAGTTGGGGAAGAGAGCAGCCAACAGAGAGAACTTCAAACCTAGGAGTTCTGACTCTCAGACCGGCTTATTGTGCCTTTAACACAAAGACCACACCACCCTGGGTCTTCAATGATAGAAACCCCAAAGTTCAGGGTCCCTATCTTTCAAACCTACCTGACCTTTGGGGCCCAGGGTAGGCCCTTGGGAAAAGCCACCCGCTCAGCAGAGAGGGTTGCCTGTGAAAGTGGAGGTGGTACCAGAGGGTCCTGTTCTAGCAGGTCTAACTCTCCGTCCAAGGTTCGTTCTCCATCGCCAGCAGACTCCTCTTCCTCTTCTGTGGCTGGTTCCTCAGTCTTAAAGAGATCTCTTTCATTGTAAATGTCCAGGCTGTCTTGCTTAGTAAGGAGTTGCTGGGGTGGGGGAAGGAAAGTATGCAGAGATCTCACCCTGGGCATCCTTGTCTGAGGCCACCCCCTCCCCCACAGGCTGTTAGAATTCAGGAAACATGGAGTAAAAGAACCCAGCTCTTGTGAGAATATCCCTTTCCAACCTCAACCCTACTGTCCCCACCAGGCCCGATCCCAGGACAGGCAGCTCTCAGACAACCAAGCCAACAGACAGGGAACAGAGCACAGATAATCCCAAAGTCACAGCTACTTAGCTTTCAGAAAGAACTGATGCCATTTTTTTTTTTTTACACCAGCACTTTCCTTCCTAATTATGCTCTGCTTAAGTGAACATTCAATTAGTTTGCCTTCTGTGGGCATACACCAGCTGGCTGACTGAGGAAGAAGAGAACAGAAGCTTGCTGCTAGGCAGAGGGAAGCAAGTTTGGAATTTTAAAATTTGTCACAGAAAGAAAAAGATTGGACAGAAATAGGCCAAAAAGTTAACAGTTACTGCCTCTGGTTGTTAAGATTGTGGGTGATTTTTCTCTCCTTTCTTCTCATTTTATATTTGTTCCAAATTTTCTATAATGAGTAAACATTACTTGATAAAACAAAAAAATCAAGGTTAAAAAAATCTCACTGAAGATAATAGGCTAGATAGCTGAGTGCGACTGTCTGGTCCTGACACCGATAGTTGGTGAACTCAGGCAGATCAAGCAAATGAGTTCATGGGAACATGGTCTGGTCTCAGTGCAACTTGTCATTTCTACCTTCCAGAGATGCAGACTATACCTAGAATCCTAACCTGTCGTCTCCCAAATGTAAGCCTTTCATTCTGGGACCAGACAAACGTATGGTTGACCCAGAGTAAACCTTCTTGCTGCTGAGAAAATAGGAAAGTGCCACACATCCAGGTACAGGGATTTTCTAGGAGACCTGTTCAGGTGCTTTGGGTCTTTATACCCTAACCCAGTGGTCGGCAAACTATGGCTCTCGAGCCACATGCGGCTCTTTGGCCCCTTGAGTGTGGCCACGAAGTTTCAATCGCACTGTACGTGTGCGCCCGCACGTGGTATTTTGTGGAAGAGCCACACTCAAGGGGCCGCAGTTTGCTGACCACTGCCCTAACCTAACTCTTGTTCTGGTGCTAAAGAACTGCAGGTGCGGAGGTCCAGGTCAATGACCCTGTGGCGAGACCTGGATCTACAATGCGATATCACAATGTTATATCATGATAGCACAGGCATCTGTCAGGGCTGGGGGATAGAAGCTAAAGTATAGACTGCAAAGTTTCAGGTTGGTCACAGGGCCAACCAGGGGCAGGATGAGCTGGGTCATTTACTGCCCTTTCCTCCCACATCCAGAGCAGCTGAGGATCTTGATTTTTGGACAGCGAGTGTCCCACCGTCTGCTTTAGTGCGTACCCTTCGAGAACCACGGCGGCCTCGCAACTTGGAGGGTGGTGGTGCCAGCTGAGACTCCCCCAGGTCCAGAGTGTAAGAGGGAGGGGAGGCGGCACGCATGCTCTTCACCACCTGGATACTGTCCTCAGCCAGTGGCGGCAGGCCCAATTCTGCCCGCTTCTGTACTTTGAGAGCCTGTAGATGCTCAAATCCACCGAGGGTAAACTAAGGGGTAAAAAAAAAAAAAAAAAAAAAGGGACAGAGAAGAGAAGGGAAGGGAGGGAAGTCAGAGAGAGCAAGGTCAGGAAAGCATGGGTGGAGAGGAACAGCCACCACCTCCAATCCCCCTCAGACCCCGAATTAATTAGTAATAATAAAACAGGAAGGGGCAAATGTGGTTACTAGCCCGGTCTGAGGAACTCAGGCACCAGGACAAAGCATTATTTACTGACTCAGGGTTGAAAATATCACCAGAAATTAGGAAAGGGACTCCGAGGGGCCTCCCCTAAAAAACAAAAAAACCAAAAAAAACACCCAGGAAAACGTATCTCCCTCTTTAAGAAACACACCCAGATGCTAAAGTCAGGCACTCTATTTCCTCTGCAGTCGGGGGGTAACTGTCTCTTGAAGTTGGGGAACTTTAAGAGGCAGTTCCCCCTATAAAACCAGTCCTGTGGGGTGGGAGCCAGAGATGAAGGATCAGGTTGAATAATTAGTAACAAAACCACAACCATACATTTATAAGGACTTCGTGTTTATCTGGATGGAGGGCAGGCACTAACCCCCCATTTATAGCTAGAGAAATTGAGGCACAGAGAGTGGCCCAATGTTGTCAGTATGAGCAGAGGCCAGATTTCCCAACTCTTAGCCAGTGTTCTTTCCACAAAACATCAGTTCTATCAGGGGAAGATGCAATGATAACCCAATTCACAGAGTGGCAAATCTTGTCAGTCCAACAGAACCGGATAACCTGCTCTAACGGAGAACATCTGATTTCTCTAGGACAGCCTAGATGTCCCTCCATTGGCTAACAGCTGCCCGAGTCTTCTGCCTAGCTCCTGCCTGCAGAATCAGAATAGAAGAACCTGAGGTAGCAGAGGGCACTGCTGATCTGATGAGTTAGGAGTGAGGAGAATGAGCCACTCACCATGACCACCTTCCAAAGCAGAAGCAGGACCTTCTTTATGGGGAAGTGGGGAGCCAGGCCACTACAGAACTTGGTAACCATGGAGAAAAGCAGAAGGGCAAAAGGCTCCTCATTATGCATGGAGAAGCCTGGAGGGTGTGGAGAGAGGCAAATGAGAAAGTGAGACTGAGGTAAGGGAAAACCTGCTCAGTAATCCCGATTCTGGACACGCTCACCACCCCTAACGAATTTGAGTACCGCCTGACCAGTGACCGCGTGGCTCAGTGGTTGAGGGTCGACCTATGAACCAGGAGGTCATGGTTCGATTCCCAGTCAGGGCACGTGACTGGGTTGCAGGCTCCATCCCCAGTGGGGAGGGCACACAGGAGGCAGCTGATCAATGATCCTCTCTCAGCATTGATGTTTCTATCTCTCTCTCCCTCTCCCTTCCTCTCTGAAATCAATAATATATATATATATAT